GGCCCCGATGAAATGGGACCTGAAAGCCGATCTGAGTTGACCCCAATATCTGATCGATTCAGTCGGTAGTGAATAGTACCACTTCTGAGCTTTAGGACCTAAGGTCAAGGAAAACATACGACATCGTAGAGCATCGTCAGCACCGTGCAAGTCCATCCATGACGTATAATGCCCGAGGTGAGCATCAGGATCAGCGTTTCCGTCGTAGAGGCCAATTTGGGGGACTTTGACTTTTCCCGGCAACGGACCTCTGGTCAACTCGGGTGCCAGAGGAGAACCGACTTCCATATAGACATGGCCTGGTTCTGACACGTGAGGCTGCTGATAAGGCCTGATTTGAGTGGTTTGTCGAGCTTCCAACTCTGCCACCTTCTTTCTTAACGCCTCGACTTCGGAAACATTACGTCGAGCGTAACGATTACGCTCAATCTGCATTCTCAGGTCAACCGGATTTTCGGTTTGTTGAAACAATGAACGAACTGCATGGGGAATTCTGGGGACATGCCGAGGATGACTTTCAGCATGCCGGGGATGACTTTCAGCAACCATCTCTGGTTGATTCATTTCTGGCTGGTTCATATCCGCCGGCAATACGTTGTTCGCCGGTGGAAGGGGTGGATTGTTGTCGCGTGGTTGTGAAGTGGCATGGGACGCCGCTTGATTGTTGTTATCCCTTGGTACAGGAGGACCTTGCTGTCTCGCCGGAGTTATAGGAGCAAAAGGTTGTCCCGGGATCCTTTGTGATGGCCCTGGCATGGTCTGGGACAACAAAGCAGTGAGTCCACGAGCAAATTCCGGGTTCTGCATGAGCATGGTGATGTCCGGCATCACAGGTGCTGGATTATGTTGACCGGTTGGCGGTTCAACAACACGAACAGCGCTTCCCATGGTCGTTGGATTATCCTGTCCAGACTGCGACATTCTTGATTTTTGAGATGTGGTGTGTTTATTTCGAAAATTTACTCCAAATATCTTATGGAGCCCTTCCTCTAGCGCCAAAATGTTGATAAACAGATTTAATCAACATAAACAATGTAAAAATTAACACAAAGATTGTAGAAAATGAGATTTTTATTGAAGATTTTGAAGTCGGTTACAGTTCTGGGAAGTCGGTTTGTCAATGTATATCAAGTCGGTAAACAGTGAAATAACCGAGGTGAATATATGAGTGTTTATGATTTTTGCCGAATCCTCGTATCATTTTCGAAGCTGCTATTTATAGTTATGCTTGGCACACATCCCTAAACAAATCATTTCCGTTTTCATGAAGATTTGACATCTTAGGGGCGGCGATGACGTAGATGAACTTTTTAGGTAATGATTAGTATGGGCGCGCTTCTATCTGTGTGACGAGTGTCACATCTGTCGGATTGAAGTCGGTTCGTCTTGCGATGTCTGTATTTTGATAGTCTTTCAGTCATTCTACGACTTCCTGATAAATTATTCTTCAACCGAGTTGGTCTTTTCAAGGTTTAAACGACGTGTGTTGACGACTTTCGAAGATTTGTGGTATCATTCACAAGTACCGAGATGAGATTACCGAGGTGCCATATATTCTGCTTGACATCGTCCAAGATCCAGTTTACGGGTTAAACTTCACGATTTCTTTAATCTAATCATAATTTCAAGATATTCTATCTTGATATCAACATGGACCATTGCCGATTTGCGTGGGATAAGCCCGTCCATTTGCATGCACCGTATCCTTCTCGAGGAAGACGCTAAACCATCTCGAGAGGCACAGCGACGGCTGAATCCTCCTATGATGGAGGTGGTGAAGAATGAAATTATCAAATTGCTGGACGTTGGAGTCATTTATCCGATCTCGGATAGCCGGTGGGTGAGCCCGACGCAAGTGGTTCCAAAGAAGTCGGGTGTGACTGTGATCGAGAACCAGGTAGGTGAGTTGGTTTCCACTCGTGTACAGACCGGGTGGAGGGTCTGCATCGACTATCGTAAGTTAAACGCGATGACTCGCAAAGATCATTTTCCATTACCTTTTATTGATCAGATGTTGGAGAGATTGGCAGGTTACTCTTACTATTGCTTCCTAGATGGCTATTCAGGTTATTTTCAGATCCCCATTGCACCCGAGGATCAGGAGAAGACCACATTTACGTGTCCGTTCGGGACATTCGCTTACAGACGCATGCCATTCGGACTATGTAATGCGCCTGCCACGTTTCAAAGGTGCATGGTGAGCATCTTTTCGGAGTACGTCGGCAATATAATAGAGGTATTTATGGATGATTTTAGTGTCTATGGTGAGTCATTTAATTCGGGCCTCGAGAACCTTGCTTTAATTTTGAAACGATGTATTGAAACGAATCTTGTTCTTAATTGGGAAAAGTGTCATTTCATGGTCGAACAGGGTATTGTTTTGGGACATATTGTTTCTAAGCGAGGTATTGAAGTTGATAAGTCTAAAGTCGATATTATTACTGCTTTGCCTTACCCCGCGAGTGTGCGGGAAGTGCGTTCTTTTCTTGGCCATGCAGGATTTTATCGCCGATTCATCAAGGATTTCTCGAAGACAGCTGCCCCTTTGTGCTCATTGTTGCAAAAAGATGTGGAATTCCGGGTGGACGAAGATTGCAAAAAGGCGTTTGATTCGCTGAAGGAGAAGCTGACCACATCTCCAATCATCCAGCCACCTAGATGGGATCTCCCGTTCGAGATAATGTGTGACGCAAGCGACTACGCTGTAGGAGCAGTGTTAGGCCAACGAGTGGATAAGGCGCCACATGTGATTTATTATGCGTCAAAGACATTGAATCCCGCCCAAGAAAATTATACCACAACTGAAAAAGAGTTGTTGGTGGTGGTTTTTGCTCTTGAAAAATTCCGTTCGTATATATTGGGAACTAAAGTAGTTGTTTTTTCTGATCATGCAGCACTACGTCATCTTTTGGCGAAAAAGGAAGCAAAGCCGAGGCTCATTCGTTGGATACTCTTGTTGCAAGAATTCGACGTGGAGATAAAGGACAAAAAGGGAGCTGAGAATGCTGTGGCTGACCATTTAAGCCGAGTAACACATGCTTCGGATGACTTTCAGCTGCGAGAGAGCTTCTCAGACGAGCATTTGCTGTGCATTGAAAACTTGCAGTTCCCAGTAATACGGGGTACCCTCCCAGGAATACAGGGTACCCCCGTACTCGACTGTGCTGCAGCTGAACAACAAGATCGAGGAACTGCGATGTCGGATTTTGCCGAACCCTGGTATGCTGATATTGTAAATTATCTGGTTGCTAAAGTGTATCCTACAGGTCTGAAGAGCCACATGAAGGATAAGCTCAGGAGCGACGCTAAGTATTATGTATGGGACGACCCGTACCTTTGGAAGCATTGTGCCGACCAAGTGATTAGGCGTTGTGTCCCGGAAGCCGAGTTCCACTCCATTCTTTCGTTCTGCCATTCACACGCATGTGGAGGTCATTTTGGAGGTAGACGGACAGCTCATAAAGTGTTGGAGAGTGGATTCTATTGGCCTACACTCTTTCGGGACGCGCATGAATTTTGTAAGTCGTGTGATAATTGCCAAAGAACATGTAACATTTCTAAGAGGAATCAAATGCCCCAGAACCCTATTATTATTTGTGAAATTTTCGATGTCTGGGGAATTGATTTCATGGGCCCTTTCCCTTCTTCGTTTGGTAATGAGTACATTTTGCTTGCTGTGGACTATGTCTCGAAATGGGTGGAAGCAAAGGCCACCCGAACTAACGATTCGAAGGTTGTTGCAGGTTTCATTAAATCTAACATTTTTTCTAGGTTTGGGATTCCTCGGGCAATGATTAGTGATCGAGGAACACACTTTTGCAACAAGACAGTGGAGGCTCTGCTTAGGAAATATGGTGTTGTTCACCGGCTTTCGACCGCTTATCATCCTCAGACGAGTGGTCAGGCCGAAGTGTCGAACCGAGAAGTTAAGTCCATCCTGGAGAAGACGGTGAATCCCAACAGAAAGGATTGGAGCATTAAGTTGGAGGATGCATTGTGGGCGTACCGAACGGCCTACAAGACTCCAATCGGCATGTCTCCTTACCGGTTGGTGTTCGGGAAGCCCTGCCATTTGCCGGTCGAGCTACAGCACAAGGCTTGGTGGGCTGTGAAGAAGTGTAACTTTGATTTCGATGATGCGGGAGGCCACAGAAAGTTGCAGCTGCAGGAGCTCGAGGAAATAAGAAATGAGGCTTTTGAGAACTCGGTGATTTTCAAGGAAAAGACGAAGGCCTTCTATGATTTGAAAATTTCGAGGAAGAATTTTGTCGAGGGTGAGAAGGTGTTACTTTTTGACTCTCGGTTAAAATTATTCCCGGGCAAGCTACGCTCTCGTTGGATAGGCCCCTTTGTCATTGTGAAAGCTTTTGGCCATGGAGCAGTAGAGATTTTTAGCCCCACGACGGGCAAGACGTTCAAGGTGAACGGCCACAAGCTTAAGCCCTATATTGGTGAACTTGGAATCAACGACGTGGACCGAGCCCGGCTGGACATTCCTTAGTCAGTTTAAAGGGGAGTACTTTGTCGAGCCAACGACGTTAAAAAAAGGCGCTAGTTGGGAGGCAACCCAATATTAGTATTATTATTACTATTATTATTATTATTATTATTATTATTATTATTATTATTATTATTATTATTATTATTAGCTTTAGTAGTTTTATTTACTATTTATTGAATAAAATGAATAATACACGAGAAAGAGAATTTTCTGTTGTTGTTTACATGATGCAGTTGCTAATCCTGTTGATTTTCCTTTGTGTTATTGCTGCAGGATATTATTGTCAATGTGTTGCTGGGAGGATGTAGTTTCAGCGGGCCAGCCAAACTAGGATGAAACCGAATAAGTGGGCAGTTGGGTGGAAAATTTAGTGTAATGGCCTGCTAAATTCTATTGGACCTTTGAGACAATTTTGTTTTGGGCCCAACAGCAAGTGGCAGCCAAATTGCCTTGACTTTGGTGTGAGACTTTGAGCACAAATCACTTCACCCACTTCCAGAATCATCTCAAACGTCACTGGCGATCGAAAATCTGAGAGAACTTGGGCGAAATTGAAATTCGAGGTCATCGGCATTTTTGTTTCGAAAATCGAGAACTATGGTGAGAATCAAGCATCAAGCTACATGCTTTCACCTCTGAGGTCCGACGAGTCACTGCCGGCTTCGCCACCCAAATCGTCGCCCAATTCGCCGTCGGCTTCGAAATCAGCGACCACAATGCCGTAGCGCGCGTCTTCCCAGCCCACATCGCCGCCAGCAGTGTCCAAATGCCGTCACCTAAGCCAAATGTCCACCGGCCGTCAGCCCGACTTATATCAGCGGTCGTAATGCCGCCGCCCACTTTCGAGTCGCTGAACCATTCATCTGTGCCGTCCGCGTCGCCCTTGGGCTGCCCATCGCCAACACAACTACGAGCCTCGCCGGAGGCTGAGGGTGCCTCGACGGTGGAAAGACAGCCACCTGGACTTCGGATAGCAACCGGGCATCCACCAAACGTACTTGAACCTCACCGGAGGATTCGGGAGCACCTGAGGAGGCAGTCCCTTCTCACTGAGGCCGCCGACCCCATCGGGCGCACGCGCTAGGATGCTACCTATGACCAGGGAAGTTCGTAAGCTCTCTCTGTCCTGCTTTTATTTTATGCATTCTTAGTGTTGTGGCGTTGAGGACAACGTTTTTTTTTTTTAAAGTGTGGGATGGGGCTGGATGTTGGTCGCCCGTATATTCGGCTCTTTATTGCCCTTTTGCTGTGTTAATCTTGTGCTATTTTGATCTCTGATTTGCTTGTTATGTTGAAGTTAGAGTCCGATTTGATGTTTGTCTGATGGTGTCGAGATCGTTTGGAATATCAGTTGTGATTATGCTTATTTCCTTTCTGATGCCAATTTTTGAAAAATTTTGGTGTGTGCGAAAATTTTTTGAGTCCTTGTGTGCTGCATATTGATTGGCTGATTGTTTTCAATGATCATTAATAGTCGAATGCACGAGGATTATCACTATTTGTCCCTATTTGTCGTGAGGCTTGAGCCAATGAGCATACACTGTCTATAATGCTCCTTTTATTGATTGTGTGATGCCATGACTGGTTGATCTTTCTAGAACTTGCCTTGTTATACACGTTTATGTTTGATTCGGGATGAATATGGATTCATATGATTGATAAGGGTACTTAGGAATGAACCTATTTTGTGTGGCCTTTCTTCTTGTTTTCTTTTAAACCGAACCCCTCTTCTTATCCATTAGTTAGCCCCCTTGAGCTTGAGCCTTTTCTTTGAATGATAGCCATATTACATGCCATGTGACCTTTTGTTGATATCCTACTTGAACTTTTGAACTGAGCAATTGTGTAAATTCCTGTCTAATTTGAGCAGAGGTTCTTGTTTGTTCGGGGTGTGTACATGGGCTGCGTGTTTTGAGTTTAACTGGGAGCTGGGTGTTTTAATATTGTGTGTTCTAAGCAGGGGTTATTTGTGCTATTGTTGGAGGAGTGTGTGTTTTGAGTGTTGGTAAAAAAGAAAACTAAAGAGGCTGTGAGATGAGGTGAGACCATTTAGAGTGTGGTTGTGATCTATTTTGCGTTTGGCATTGGCAGGGTGAGGTTCAATTTAGACATTTGCCGGGTGTTGGTTTAGAGCTCTTTTCGGACGGGATTTGCACGATTGTTTGGTTCGTTTGAATTACACTGTTATTCTTCTTGCGTGTCAATACTTCTAGCCATTATTACCCATACCTGTCATTACAACCTTTTTATAAACCCTTGGAACTTTGTAAATCTATGTTCATTCTTGAATAGTCGGGCGTGATGCAATGGCAAGCTTATGGTAAAGATTTTCTATGTTGTGACCTGAGCGTTCACTTATATTTATATATCTTAGCCTATACACTTGGAGAGTTTGAGCGAACCTTGTGAGATGTGTTGATCCTCGTTGCATTTCATATTGATTGGTTGTTGAGAATATGTGTCATTGATGTCGGTATATGAGATTTCCCTATCACTTGTTTTTCTTGCGTGCAAAACGATTTTGATTGGCAAAGGAGAAGGGAAGGGTGTGATTAAAATTTGATATGACGAATTTTGCTTGATGCTTGAGGGCAAGCATCGTTCAAGTGTGGGGTGGTTTGATTCATCGGAAATCGTGCTTATATTAATGGTCTAATGTTGCATTTGTGCACGTTTAATTCTCCACATTTATGCATCTTTCGACTTATTTGATATTATTATCAACTCTCGTGCCTTGATTGATTTTTGAGTGATTTTCAGTACTTTTGGAGCTAATTTTTGTTGCACGAAGAGGTGTGGATGTTCGGAAAAAGAACGAAGTAGTGTTATCAGCGAGTACGGGGTCGTCCCGTACTGACCCAGCTACCCCCGTACTGATCAGCAGCGGCCCATATTGTCTCAATAGGCCCATGCAATTCACGTGCTGGGAAATTAATATGATTGGGCCCAGATATTTGGTGTTTGAAGAAGTGGGCCACGTTTGCTGAATTCATTATGGAGATTAAGTCAAAGGCCTAATTGATTATTAGTTGTCATAGTTGACCAGAGAGTAAAAGGAAAAGAAAAAAAAGATACATATATATATTAGGAGACTTTGGCTACGGGATTATTCATTCATTATTCCAAAGCACATGGCGGCTGGGACTTGAACGCAGACAGAGAAGAAAAACTGATCGCAAGCAATTGGAACAGAGAAGATTTATTCTTTTATTTTCTTTGTTTATTTTTCTCGTGTAATTAATTCTATGATTATGTTATTGAACACCATGAGTGAGTAGTTTCTTTATTCTAGTCCCGGGGAAATCGAGACTTGACTATGTTTTGATTGATTATCTAGTTGATGATTTTAATATCTTTTTGGAATTGCTTGTGTTATTTTGAATAATTAATCATGATGTGTTAGTCTTGTTTAGATTGATCACCTAGATTAGGCTTTTCATATCTACATCTGAATTAGGCCTGCAATCCGTAATTGTTGTTGCGTTTAATTCATAAGAGGTAACCGGAAGATGGTAACTACCGGGGATAACACGGCCTAATTAAGTGAACGAACGCGGTTGAGTTCACTAATTAGTCTAGCCTATTTTTCTAAATCGTAAAGCGGTTAATTGTATTAAATCTTGAAAACGTTTTTCTGGACTGTACAAAAAGTCAGGTTTAATCGTCGAGCGTCTCGCGGTTAAATTAAAAATAAGGAAAAATTCGGGTAACAGACCGTGTCGTTACCTAGGGCTAGTAATTCCATGAGATAACGAAATCTGATGCTAGAATTAATTAGACGAGTCAGTCGAGGATGTAGACGGAACCGTGGACTAGAAGCTTCCCTATTTATTTGATTATCATTTTTATTTGTTGCATTTAATCCCATTTTGTTATTCATAATTTAGCAGTTAATTAGTTCATACCAAAATCCCCCTCTTTATTAGTATTTTTATGATTTCAATTAAATAAAATAATTACAATTAAATTCCACACTCCCTGTGGGTTCGACCCTGGCTCACTACTACTACTAGTTGGTAGAAGTCGGTTAAGGAAAATATAAATTATAATTTTGCCGCGTTGCGATGCGCGGTCACTCGGCATGGGTGTTATATCTCCTTTATCAAAGCAGCTCACAATGCCATTGCCGAATGCCATCGTTTTGGTGGCTCTAAACGAGCTCTCGACCTGTGCTCACAAGCTTCTTCATTAAGGTATTTGCACATTCATGCACACACAAGATCTCATTCTAATAATACAATCATCCACGTTTCTAAAAAGTAAAAAAATGTGTGTGGGATTTGTGCTGAGATAGTGAGGTTTATTCAGGTACACGGATGGTAGTCTATATGCGCGTCGGTAAACCTCACAAGGAGCTGAAAGTTCTGAAGACCAGCGATGCAATTATGATTCTTCACGAGGTGCCGTACACAGAAGAGAATGTTAGCAGAATCCATACCGCAAGAAGGTATTTTCTTTTCAATCTTAATCCTTTTGTATTAGATCTTTCTTTTTTTCTTATTTATTTTTTTGTCGGGATGTTTGAGACTAAGGATTCGGTGGTTGCAGGCTGTTTTCTTTTGGATAATGCCTTGGATTTTCCGGCATTTAAATTTAGACTAGAATTTGTTTGAACCAGCATTGTTGTTTATGTTACTGTTACAATTAAGGCAAGAGATTTATTCCCATCCTTTTACTTATGGTCTGTTAGTGTCTGTTGGAAATGTTTTGGATTGTTTGTAGTGGTTAGTTTTAGGTGAGAGCTTTCAAGAAAAAAATCCATGGATGATGAGTTCAAACTTATGGAAAAAACTAATCATTAAACTTTTTCCTAGATTTTGCAGGTAAAAAAAATGTCGAAAGCATAGTCAAGGATGTCTTGAAGTGTGCGTTAATCGAGTACCAGGTTGGTGCTTCGCTTTGTTTTATGTTTCTCTTTGATTTATGTTTCAGAGAGTTAGGTATATACATGACCTATTTTTACTCTTCATCTGTCTCAATGTGTTTCCTTGCTATGTCTTGATTGCTTCCTATGTGCAGTGTTGTTGTTAGAGAAGACAAGAAACTATTGATTGTTGTATTCCCTGATGGACGGGCATTTACTCTTAAGGTTCATAATAGATCAGATGTCATTTACGCAGTATTTTGCATAGTCAAGTGTTCTTTTAGGACATGGGGATAATGAGGATAATTTACCCTGACATTTTTCTTAATTCTATGTATCAGTTATCTTTAACCTTGCAGACACTCACTTGAAGTTCCGATCAATGGAAGACAAGCAAGAACTCTAGGATATATAAAAAACAATTTAGTTTCTGGTCTTGAATATATTCACTTCGTTGACAGCTATAATGTTCCAGTTTGGGTATCTGGAAACCATAATGGTCCACAATTGGAAACTGATCATTTTCTTTTAACTGTAAATTTTTTTCCTGTCATTTTACAGGTATTTATGTTGCTTAATGACCTTTCCAGTACACTACTAACTACTAATTCTTGCCCAGAATTTTTTACTAATGTGTTCTGTATTTGTTGAACTACTATTAGCTTGTCATTGTCCTATCTTTAATATGATTACGTCTTTTCTTTTTTGCAATATTTTGGTGGGATTAACATTCAAGTGGAACTGACATATTAACTTTTACTGCTACATTATATTTTGGTTTGTACATTTGTGTCGTAAATTTATGCTGTTTCTAATGGTATTTGCATAGTAATGCATGAAAATGAAATATGCCCAAGTTGGTTATTTTGCAGGAAAAAAGCTGTTGACGCATTATGGAATTTATCCTTTGATGACCGGAATCGAGAAGCAATTGCAGCAGCTGGTGGAGTTAAGGCTTTGGTATGTCATTCTATTATTAAATAATTTCTAGAGAGTTCTTGTTATACTTATTAGGCTTTATTTTTCTATTAAGTGGTTTCATCTAGGCAGCAACTACCATAAAAAAAATATTATGCCAGAAAAACATTGATCCTTGATTGAAAATTCGGTAAGCCATTTGATGCCTTTGTGCTTGCTAAGATTGGTTATGGTTAGTGCTACTGGTGGGTGCTGATTAATTACTTTATCTTTTATTGGAATATCTTGTTAATTGGGAAATT